GGGGAAAAAAGTGAGGACGCAGCTGATTGTCTCAAATGACCTATTTGCTTTAAGGAAGCTGTAGAGATTTGTCAAATGGAACGTTTAATTTCTTGACAGCTGTTTTCTTGAGTACTGTGTCCCATTAAAATGAAAACCTTGACATCAACCTTTAAAAAAAACAAAAACCTAGCAACTGAGGGCAAGAAAATACTGCATGAAGTCAGTAAGTTTGCTTTGTAGTTAACACACCCATCTTGAAATGAGAGCTGAAAAGTAGAACTCGTTAGAAAATGTAATGAAGATCAGGACAGTTGGGAAGAGGCTCCCACTCCAAATTGCCATTTTGTTGGAGAGCAATCAAAATTTTATAAAAATGTAAAATGTGTACACCTTCCAACCCAAACACTCCACATACAGGAATGCCCAAACACTCCACATACAGGAATGTAAACATAACTTGGATAAAATTAGATATAAGGATATGAAAGGATGCTCATAGATATCACATATACAGAAAAAAAAATCCTAAAAGGGGCTGAAGTTAGAAATGAGAACCACAGAATAGGTTAAGAAGTCTGCAAAATAGCATACTTACTATTCTGTAAGGCAGAGTGGGCATAAAAGTATATGCTCATCAAATGCTAATATCATCTCTTATCTAGGTAATCATATTCTTAATGTTACAAACGTTCTGAATACTGTATTGTTTGAATTTCCTATGAAAGCTTTAATTGCATTTATAAACAAGAGGTAATAACCCAGTAACTTAACATAGGCTCCTATAGTAGTTTGCTACTAGCCTTGTCCCATGCTACTTTCAAAGAGCTAGGTACACCCTGTACTGAATAAAGGATCTTATAGTACAGGGACGGGCATAGCCTTTGTTCTTCAAAAATTTAACAATTCAAGCCAGATATACATTCCACAAGATAAGGCTATGTATCAGCACTATTCTCTACACGTTTTCAACAAGGCAATAGTATCTTTTCTTGGAAAAGACTTATCTGAGCATGAGGCTTTATATAGATTTAAAGTAGGCAATCATATTTTGATCTAGGAAATAGATGTGGAATAGAAAGTACTTAGGGGACTCAGAACAAAAAATCTTATCAATTGAATTGGGGGGATTGTGAAGACCCCAAAAGCCCATCAGTATACAACTCTTACAAAAGGGTCACAAGGAATAGGTGCAGTATAGCACCGTTGAATCATACAAGTTGCCTCGTTTTTAAAGCTTCCTCCCTGCGCTCCCCTATCATGGCCCTATTCTACCTTACAAATCCAGCTAGATCAGAGCATGTACACTGTACAGATAAGAGCTTAAAACACAGGGAACCCAAGAGAGATAGACCCCTCAGTACCAATAATGAGTGATATCAGGAAGGTAAGGGGTAAGTGGGAGGGAAAAGTGAGTAATCAATAATGATCTACAAACACCACCCCGGGAAAGGGGCAACAGAAAAGTGTGACGGGAGGCATTAGTGTAAGACATGAAAAAATTTATAAATTATCAAGGGTTCATGAGGGAGGGAAAAAATGAGCCAATGTACCTAAGGCTTAAGTAGAAAGAAAATGTTTTTAAAATGGCGGCAACATATGTACAATGTCCTTCATACAATTGATGTATGGATTGTTATACCATGTTTAAGAGCCCTCAATAAAATGGAATAAAAGTATTTAGGAACACAGCATCTATGTGGGCTATCCTTATAAAGCAGTCTTTGTGGGTGGCATCGAGTTGGAAAGTTCAAGCCTACAGAATGCTTACAAAAGTGTGGCGATCTACTTCCACTTGGAAAATCTATGGAGCAGCTCTAACACATGGAGTTACAGTAAGCCAAAGTAATTCGAAACTAACTGCTTTATCATACAATTGGAGTGGGAAAAAGCCACATAGTACACTGCAAGTAGTCAAATAGCTGGAATTCAATTTATGTGTAGTGGGATCCAATTTGTGGGAGGGGGGAGATCTTACCACTTTTCAAGCAATGAAAATTGAGTCATACTTTTATGAACTTTTTCAGTGACATTTGAAGTGCATCTGTCTTATCAAAGGTTAAAAACTTCCTTCCCCTGAGGTTGGTACAGATTTGGATTAGGTCCAGAGAGCCACCATCTAAATACCACCATGAAGCACACAATAGGTGCCCAGGTGGAATAGTGGGTTACTATGACAGACCAATAGTAAGCTTGAATTCAACTGCCT